TCCGAACCAGCGAACCCCGGGCCACCGCAGCAGAGCGCGCGCACTTAACCGCTTGCGCCACCGGGCCGGCCCCTCCACCAGCATTCTGGCTTCAGTTCTTCCCCTTTGAAGGATTTTGTTTTGTTCAAGGGAAGCGTGCCATTTGCCACAGTGGACTGGAAGGGATATGCTGACAGAAAACTTGAGACAAAAGCAAGGAAACCAAAAGCGATAATCTTTATTCTCTACCTCACTGATTCTTGTGCTTTGGCTCCAGTTTGGGGGAATCATGTGACTGGCTGATAAACCCCACGCTCACAGAGTCCCCATTATCCAAACCACCTGAGAGGATGGTATTTCACCAAAGGACCTGAAGAGGCTAAAACTCTGGCCTCTAAATTCTCGGCACTTTTCAAAAAACATCAAGGTGACTCTGGGCGAGAAGATAAAAGCTTCATAATGCAGACAGTGAGAACAGAGAGACTTTTAATGGTCATCTGGCACAAAGAAAGAAGCATTGTCCTTGCTTAGACAACCCAAGGCCACTATACTAACCGAGGATCGCCAACAACAACAACCAGAAAACAGAGCACCTCATGGCTTTATGCTAGCTGTGTCCTGTCAAGGTGCAAGGCCAGGTCCTGGTCTCAGCATGGGCCCTCATCAGAGGGTATTAAGGTTAGAGACTTGAGGGCCAGCCCTGGTGGCCTAGCGGTTACGTTTGGTGCACTCCACTTTGGCCCTCTGGGTTTGGTTCCTGGGCGTGGACCTACACCACTTGTCTGTCAGTGGCCATGCTGTGGTGGCAGCTCACATACAAAAAGAGGAAGACTGGCAGTGGATGTTAGCTCAGGGTGAATCTTCCTCAGCAAAAAAAAAAGGTTAGAGACTTAAGAGTGAAGAGTGGGCCTGCTCCAAGCTCTGCCACCCCAGCTGACTGACCCTAGACAAACCACTGACCCTGTCCAGGTCTCCACTTCTTTGTGTGTTAATACCCATCACACAGGGTGGTCATGAGGCTCAGAGAGCAAATCAGTAGATCACGCAGAAGAATTCTGCTTGCCCGTTTTTTTTTTTTCTTTTAAACTTTATTTATTTATTTATCCCCCCAAAGCCCCAGTAGATAGTTGTATGTCATAGTTGCACATCCTTCTAGTTGCTGTATGTGGGACTCGGCCTCAGCATGGCTGGAGAAGTGGTGCGTCGGTGCGCGCCTGGGATCCGAACCCGGGCTGCCAGCATCAGAGCACGCGCACTTAACCGCTAAGCCATGGGGCCGGCCCTGCTTGTCTCTGTTTTTGAGGCTATGTACAGAAATTAGGTGTGAACCTCAAGATATTAGAGGTCCAGGCACATGATATTAAAATATAGTTCTGTCAGTGTTGCTGGGGTTGTAAACACCTTGGCATTTTTCCAATTTCCACACCTGTTACTTTATTTAATTCTTTCAGCAACCCTTTGAGGAAGGCAAAGAAGGGAAAATAATAATAATTTCCATTTTACAGGGGAGAGAGGCAAAGAGGTTAAATGCACTATCAAAGGATGCCTGGGTGGTTTGTGCGGCAAGGCTTTCTGCTCAACCCAGTCCAACAGAGTTGAATTTCCACACCTTCAAGATAGGTGCTAACCCAGCCTGGGGTCCTACAGATGAATTGTAAGGAAAAGAAAGGGAGGGAGAAGCATGTAGATTAGGAGACTTAAAAGATATATCAACTGCTAATGGGTATGAGGGTTCTTTCTGGAGGTGATAAAAATATTCTAAAATTAGATTATGGTAATGGTTTTACATCACATACTAAAAAACATTGATTTGTACACTTTGAATAGGTGAATTTTACAGTATGTAAATTATATCTCAACAAACCTGTGAAGAAAAAGACATGTCAGGGTTTTTTTAATGGGCAAGACTAAACCTTGTGGCTAGGGATGCATATTTGGGTGCTAAAATTCTAAAGAAATGCAAGGAAGTGATTACTGTAAAAGTCAAGAATGCTTTCAGGTGGAGGGTTTTGTGATTGGGATGGGGCACGTGAAAGAGCTTCTGGGGTGGGTAGCAAGGTGTTATTTCTTGACCTGAAGGGTAGTTACAGCGGTGTTTACCTGATAATAATTCCTTACCCTCCACATGTGTTTTGTGTAGTTTTCTGTATCTGTTCTGCTATATAATAAAATAGTTTTAAAAAAGAGGGGAAATCAAGTATGAAATGTGCCGAACAGACTGTAAGGTGGCCCCCGTGAGCCCCCACCTCCTAGTATTCCTGCCCTTGTGTAACCCCCACCCCTAGAGTGTAGGCATGACCTGGGACCTGCTTCTAACCAATAGAATAAGGCAAAAGCGAAGGGATGTATGTGATTATATTCTTTTGTGATTACATTATATAAGATTTAATGTCCATCTAGCTAGGAGACTTTCTCTCTCGTTGGCTTTGAAGAAGTAAGCAGCTATGCTGCAGAGACATACGGGGTAAGGAACCAAGGGCAGTCCCCAGCCGATGCCAGCAAGAAAGTGAGGCCCTCAGTCTAACAACCCATGAGGAACTGAATGCTGCCAACAACCATGTGAGTTTGGAAGCAGATCTTTCCCCAGTTGAGCCTCAGATGACACCACGGCCCCAGCTCACACTTCGATTGCAGCTTGTGAGACTCCAAAGCAGAAGCCTCAGCTAAGCTGTGCCTGGACTCCTGGCCCACAGAAACTGTGCGATAACAAATGAGTTGTTTGAAACCACTAAGTTTGTGGTAATATTATTACACAGCAATTGATAACATGCCTGTGGTGTTTGGGGGTCCCTCAAACCACTCTCAGGTTCAGTGATTCACTAGAAGGACTCAGAACTCAGCAAAGCTGTTATAGTCATGGTTACAGTTTATTACAGTGAAAGGATACAAATTAAAACCAGCAAGAGAAAAAGGCACATAGGGCAGGCGCCAGGAGGCACCAGTTGTCCTCTCCCAGTGGAGTCATGAGGACAATGCTTAATTCTCCCTGCAACTATGTGTGACAACTTACATGGTGCCAACCAGGGAAGCTCACCCAAGCCTTGGTGTCCAGGGCTTGTATTGGGAGTTGGTCATGCAGGCAAGCTCACTGGCCATGTGGCTGCCCTTAGTCTCCAGCCCCTCTCAAGGTCTAGCTGATACTACATGGCCCAAGGCCCCCTAGTAAACAAAGACACTCTTATCAGGCAGGATATTCCAAGGGCTTAGAAATTATCTCCCAGGAGCCAGGCAAAAGCCTGTCCTTTCTTTGGAATGTGCAGAGTTTGAACATCCCAAGCCTGCTGAGTTAACCCATTACTGCATACCCCTTAACTTCAGAAGTGGTATTCTCAAGTCAAGTCTCTGCTTGAAGGCAAAGAGACCAGGCAAACACCGTGTTTTAACACCTGAGGAACCTTTATACCTTTACTTGCCTTATAGTGAGAGAGTTTCCAGGACGTAAACCATACAGCCAGAAGGCAGGGTGCAGAGGAGAGGAGGCAGAGATGGGGCACTCATACAGAAGCTTCTTCTGATTAGCCACTGAATAGAAGGCAAGCTTCCTCTCCTCAAGGTCCAGCCAGATGCCCACCACTTTAGGTCTGTCTGAGCCAAGGATAGTTTCCTTGACCATGTGCCACGCGGAGAGCTGGCTAGTCCCCTTCCACTCTACACACCAGGAGTCCTTGGTCCTTCCCAGGATGTGGTCACGGCTCATCCCCCAGGAAGCCACCCCAACTGCCCAGTGGCTGCAATGCTGAGTGTCTACTTCCCAGTACTGATGCCCAGAAGAGAAGGCCTGGGAACATAAAACCTGGCAGGTCGAAAACCTCTCACGACTCCAGGAATAGGACTGTAAGCAATGAGATACAGTCACCGTCCGATGATCCTCAGAGACCTCCAGGCTACAGGAGAGGCTCCTCATGTCAAAGGTTGGACTGATGGCCCCTGGGGAAAAAAACAAGAACATGACCCACCAGCTCTGATGGTCCATGTTAAGAGGTCCTCAGATAGCAAAAAGCAGCTTTCTATCTTTGGGTGTGAAAAAGTTTTACTCATACTGCCACTGAAATTGGCACACCAACTTGCAGTTTTCTGTACATATTCCTGATGTTCTATTAAAAATATCCCTTTCCCTGGGCCGGCCCCGTGGCTTAGCAGTTAAGTGCGCGTGCTCCGCTGCTGGAGGCCCGGGTTTGGATCCTGGGCGCGCACCGACGCACCGCTTCTCCGGCCATGCTGAGGCCGCGTCCCACATACAGCAACTAGAAGGGTGTGCAGCTATGATGTACAACTATCTACTGGGGCTTTGGGGGGAAAAAATAAATAAAATAAAAATCTTTAAAAATATCCCTTTCCCACCTTAACTCCCACTTTCTCATTAGGAGTTTCTCTCCTAATGAGTTTCTCTCATTAGGAGAGAATTCATTGCCTCTTTCAGGAAGCCCTCTCTGAATCCCACCCAGCAAAAAGTCACCTCTTCCTTTTTTCAACACCCCTAATGCTTGACCTGTTGTCTAATGATACTTACCATCTTCCACCTGTAGTACAGTGACTTATGACCACAGCTGTTTATACTGCTCCAGTTACACATAAGCTTCCTGATTTAGGACCGGGTCTTATTCATTTTGTATATTTCATATGTTTCCTCTGAAGAGAGTAAATAATTGCTAACACTCATAGCATTATACTCTAGGCGCACACTGACACACAGTCATTCATCTAACTCTCATGACAATCCCACAAGGGAAGGAATTACTATCGTTAGATCCACCTTACAGATGAGGGAACTGAGGCTCTAAGAGGTTACAGGACTTGTCCAAGATCACAGAGCTAGTGAGTGGAGGAGCTGAGAGTCAAACCCAAGCAGTGTGGCTCCAGGATTCACGCTCTCAAGGACTACTCCAGACTGGGACAGTGACAGTATCTAAAAGCGTTGGGGAACAGGCAGTTGGCTGTGTGTGGTGGCTCCAGCATGGATGCCCAAAGGTTGCCTGGGCTCTGAGTGCTCATGGGTCTGGCTTAGCCTGGAATTTGGGAGTCTTCAATCCCCTTTGTTTTTGTCCTCAGCTCCCCACGTGGAGGGACCTAGTCTTGGGGTAGTAAGCCAAGGGGTAGGCCTAGTAGCAGGGAGATGGACACAGCATGCTCTCGCAGCTCCTCTCTGCAGTGGGCCAACCCAAGTTTTAAGCAGACCACATACTTACACTGAGCAAACCTCGAGGCCCCGTTGGGTGCAGGGTGGCTCTGGCCAGGCAGTGGGCATGAAGAGGAAGATGGGGCTTCCGGGAGTTCCACTAAGGAATCAAAAAAATTGGAAGGAGGAGAGTCCCATCAAAAAAAGGCAAAGAGAAGGTATCCAAACATCGTGATCAGGGCACATGGCTTGTCTTCCTCACCAGCAGCAGAGTTTTTTACTGTCAGGACTTGATCAGGCAGTCCATCCAGCTCAGGTCTGTCCAGCCTCATGTTCTCACTGTGGACTTTTCTACTGTCTGCTCCCTCACTAAGCTCTTAGCCCCTTGCTGGCAGAGACTTTTGTTCAACTTTATGTTCTAAGCATCTAGTCCAGTGCCAGGTACATAGGAATTGTTTGATGCACATTTATCAAATAAATTAACTAATACAGTTCTAGGGGATCACGGCGCCCTGACAATCAGAATATCCACGACCCCCATGTCAATGCTTTAAACTGTTACTTGCATAAGTTACTTTAAACTGTTATTTGCATAAGTAAATTCTGAATGGACACTCAAGAAACTAATAATAGTGGTTAACTGAAACAGGGGAACAGGAAAATTGGGCGTGTGTGGGAAAGAGACTTTCGCTGTATGCCTTTTCATATTGTTTTAATTTTTGAATTTTAAATCTTAAATTTAACCCCAAAATTTAAAAATTGATTTTAAATTTGCATAAATAAATAAAACCACTAAGGCATCCAACCTAAATTTAGGAAGCACACAGGAGCCAAGAGGGCACTTAGTTCTCAGATAATTTCTGGAACAACTAATAAACTGTGTTCTAATTGGTTTCCTTAAGAAACGTTTTCCAAAAAATCATGTTTCTCCACTTAAATAAGGAATGACTTTTTAAGCAGAGCAAAATCATTTAAATATAAAAAAGCTATAAGAGATATATCTCTGAGGTATATAAAGCTGGCAGTGGCCAGAGCAGGAGGTGGAGACCAGAGTTGCTGTCTAAGGGGCAGGTGTGAATTGTTTTTCGACCATGACTAAAGAGAACAACAGAGAAGCCACAAAGCGAGCCTACAAAGGACAGAAAGGTTCTTTTCTACATTGTTACCATATTAACACACTCGCCAGAGATTGTATTTTAATAGAATTTACCAAGAACTATTTACGAAGTGGCATGCTTTGTTAATAAAGACATTTACCAGGGCCAGCCCCGTGGCTTAGCGGTTAAGTGCGTGCGCTCTGCTACTGGCGGCCTGGGTTCGGATCCCGGGCGTGCACCAACTCACCGCTTCTCCGGCCATGCTGAGGCCGCGTCCCCCATACAGCAACTAGAAGGATGTGCACCTATGACATACAACTATCTACTGGGGCTTTGGGGAAGAAAAAAGGAGGAGGATTGGCAATAGATGTTAGTGAAGAGCTGGTCTTCCTCAGCAAAGAGAGGAGGATTAGCACGGGTGTTAGCTCAGGGCTGATCTTCCTCACACACAAAAAAGACATTTACCGGTTAAAAATAAAAAGCAGCCTATTTCTGAATCTCCTCAGGTAGATAACACAGATGAGCTGTAAGCTAGCAAAATCAGGTCTAGGTTCTGGATTTATAGGTCTTAAGAAAATAAGTTTCTTTCTATTAAGAGCCTGTGTTACATCACACCTCCAGTCACGTCCAAAAACATATCCAGCCCCAAAACGCCTCAGCCCACTCCTTCCTCCCTTACACCACCACAGTGGTAACGCAGCTGGGCTCCGGGATCCGTCCCCAAAAAACAAAGCCAGGAAACACTTTGCCGTTTCCCCCCAACTTCCATATTTAATCTCCTCTACCAAATAAAATCAACTCACCCTGCGTTTGTTCTTCAAGGACCGCCTTCCACGTGAAGCTTTCTTGTAATTTTTGCTGAATTTCTTCTAGGTCATGTAGAATGTCTCTCTTTTTTCTCTCAGGTGTGTTGGAAGTTACCAGCTTTGGAGAAGACAAGGAAAGGTCCACCCCCCCAGAAAAAGCCTATTGATGAATCATAAGAAAGTAAATAGGGCCAGCCCCGTGGCTTGGTGGTTAAGTGCGCGCGCTCCAATGCCGGTGGCCCGGGTTCGGATCCCGGGCGTGCACCGAGGCACCACTTCTCCGTCCATCCTGAGGCCGAGTCCCACATACAGCAACTAGAAGGATGTGCAGTTATGACATACAACTATCTACTGGGGCTTTGGGGGGAAAAAATAAATAAATAAAATCTTTAAAAAAAAAAAAAAGAAAGTAAATAAATGAAAGTCTCCTAAGGAACGTATCAGATAGCATATTCCCGTTCTGCCGTCTATCTTATGTCTTTGACACGCTTTACACCGAGATTTTCTACTTACTTCCTAACAAGTTTTTAAAAACATAATTAGGCCCTCAAAATACATACCTTGAAAACAATCTGGAATAATACACAGTCCAGCAAAAATATTAAAGAGTGGTTATTTCTGGGTGGTGGGATTATGAATGATTTTCATTTGTTTCCTTTAGCGCTACATATTTTCTAGTATTTTGTACAATAAATATGGATTTCTCAGATAATAAAAAAAAGTTTAAAATTTATATGCCCATCTTATAGGGGCTTTACAAAATAAATAATACAGATAGTCACTGAGATAAGCGGCAAAGGCCAGATAATCTTCCCTGGACTGCTATCATTATATCACATCTCTTCTCAAGAGTCAACGTAAACATGTTGCCTGCATCTGGGGCCTCCAACACATGCTCCCTGATTTTCTTTAACCTCAGGTCCTGTTATTCCCCAACACAGCCTCTCATCTGCTTGCCACCTTCCCACCTTCAGCACCTGACTTTCCTTCCCAACTTTGCATAGTCCATTTCCCATTCTTTTCACCAATCCTAATAGCAGTAGGTACCACTTATTGAGTACTTTCCACTGCTCACCTCTAATCTGCATGACAACCTTCCAAGGTAGGTTTATTATCCCCACTTTACAAAAGAAGAAGTTAAAGTTCATGGGGGTTAACGCAATTGCCATAGTTAATTTTATCGTCCTACATTTTGACATTGCTCAAGCACTTTTTAAAAATTTTATTATTACTATCATCATTATTGTTAGTATTATTGTATGTGTGTGAGGAAAACTGGCCCTGAGCCAACATCTGTTGCCAATGTTCCTCTTTTTGCTTGAGGAAGATTGTCCCTGAGCTAACATCTGTACCAATCTTTCTCTATTTTTTGTATATGGGACACCACCACAGCTTGGCTTGATGATCGGTGTGTCAGTCCGCACCCGGGATCTGAACCTCCAAACCTCAGGCTGCCGAAGCAGAGTGCACAAACTTAACCACTATGCCACCGGGCCCACCCCTCAAGCACTTTTTTATATAAGATCTCTTCTAATCCCACATCAAACCAGTGAAGCAGCAAGCCACATATCATGATTCCTATTTTACACATAGAAAATGGAGACTCAGAAAGATGAAATGACTCGCCCAAGGTCATAATACTAGTGAGTGACAACATCAGTACTGAAAATCAGACTCTCAGACTTTCCATCCAAACACACTGAATCCCTGAAGACCCATTTATTCACTCATTCAGTGGGTATTTGTTAAGCACCTACTATGTGTCAAGCACTATGCTAGGCCTGGAGATGCAGGGGTAAACAAAAGCACAAAAGCCATCAAGGTCTCTACCCTCATGAAGCTTAGAGTCCAGTGCAAGGGCAGAGGGAGGACAGACGTTAATAAATTATGTCACCAATCATTATCAGGTTGCAACTGTGATAACTGCTGCAAAGGAAAGCTACATGAAATCATAAGAGCCTCTTAAGGTGGATTTGACTTGTTCAAGGACATCACTGAAGGTTTCCCCGAGGAAGTGATGATCTAGCTGGGGTCTGAAGGATGAGGAGGCATTACCTAGGTGACAGGGAGAAAGAAGAACATTCCATGGAGTGCACCCTGTGGTGTGAGGAAGAGTGACACCCTGAGGGGACTGAGTGGGCCAAGTGTGGCTGGAGCTTGAAGAGCCAGGGGGAACTGGGTGAAACGAGATGGGGGAGGCAGACAGGGAGGGGATCCTGCCGGGCCCTGTCGGTTCTGTGAGGATTTGTCTTTTTTTTTTTTTTTAAATATTTATTTATCTATTTATTTATTTAGTGTGTGTGTGTGTGTGCGCTAGGAAGATCAGCCCTGAGCTAACATTCATGCCAATCCTCCTCTTTTTGCTGAGGGAAGACCGGCCCTGAGCTAACATCCGTGCCGATCTTCCTCCACTTTATATGGGACGCTGCCACAGCATGGCCTGACAAGCAGTATGTCGGTGCACACCCGGGATCCGAACCCGGGCCGCCAGCAGCGGAGTGCGCGCACTTAACCGCTACGCCGTGGTGCCGGCCCCTGAGGACTTGAGTCTTAATCCTACACACACAGACATCATTCGAATGTTTTAAGCAGATGAGTTACGTGACCAGATTTGTGTTTGAGAGTGTCAGTCTGATGACCATGAAGAAAGCAGACTACAGGGAATAGAGTGGAGCAACTAGGAGGCTATTGTAGCAACCCAGGCAAGAAATGGTCATAGGCTTGTATCAGAAAAGTCTCAAAGGAGCTCAAGAGTAGTACATAGATTCGAGAGGTGTTTAGGCAGGTGAGAGGAGGTGCATGATTCCCAGGTTTCTGGCTTGTGCACTTGGAAAGGTAACAGGGCCAGTCATTGAGATGGAGAATCCCAGAGGAGGAACAGTTTGGGACATTTTAAGTGTGATGTGCCTCTGAGATACCAAGAGGAGAAGATGAGAAGGAAGATACTAGACTAGAGCTCAGAGAAGGGTCCAGGCTAGAGCTATGTTTGTGCACAGAGGTGGTAATTAAAGCCATGGGTGTAGGGAAGACCACATAGTGGGAAGAGAAAGGGACCGACAACTCAGCCTTGAGGAATTCCAGCATTTCACTGCTGGGCAGAGTGAGCCTGCAAAAACGGACTGAGAAGGAGCCAGAGAGAAACAGGGCAAGGTTGGAAGACTCCTGTCCCAGAAGCTAAGAGAAAAGAAAGCTTCAAGAATGAAGGTGTGGTCAACTGTGTCAAAGGCTGCTGAAAGGTCAATGAAGATGAGGACTAGAATGTCTGCAGGATCTGCATAGAAGTCATTGGTGATCTTAGAGCCGTTAGGTGGAGTGATAAGGATGGAACCTAGCCCACTTGAAGTTCCCTTCCTCACTCAAGCATTCCAAACTTCTAATCATCCATGTTTGGTAGTAAAGAGAATGATAAAAGATTAAGAGTTATTGCATCCTTCAATTGCAAACATATTCATGGGAAGCCGTCCCTAGCCACACACACCCCCCCCCCCCCCCCCCCCCCCCCCCCCCCCCCCCCCCCCCCCCAGCATATCCTTTCCTCGCTCAGCTGAACCTACCGTGCTCGGGACGCTCAGGTCATTGTCTGGTCCAGATTCTGGGAGGTGTCTCTGACTCTGAAGGCTCTTGATAATGTCTACAACCTGTTCCACCAGCTTTGACAGCTCCCGACCAACTTCTGTGATGCTCTTTTGTGCCGCCGCCTTTAAAACAGCAAAGCAGAACACAAAGCTGGATCCAGGAACCAGCTTTAGACAGAGGGAGCTGTAAACACTGGATAAAGGAATCACACAAGGAAGTGAAAAAAATGTCCAGAGGACAAGGAGGTAGACTCCCCAGACCTTTTGCGTGCCCGTTTCCCCCCACTGATCCTCCAGTGGCCATTACAGGGAACCAGAATCCATCCATAGGAAGTGGGGGTGGGGTGGGCGTGAAGCATGAAGGGTTAGGGTGAGTGGTGCAGTGGAAGGTGTTCGGCTCAGGTTTAAGCTCCACGCTCACCTCTCATTCATCCTGTGTCCTCAACACTCCTTTTTTTTAATTTAATTTAATTTTAATTAACTTATTTTTTATTTTTTGGTGAGGAAGATTCACCCTAAGCTAACATCTGTGCCACTCTTCCTCTATTTTGTATGTGGGTTGCCACCTCAGCATGGCTGACGAGTGGTGTGTAGGTCCATGCCTGGGATCTGAACCCGCTACCTGGGCCACCAAAGTGGAACAAGCCGAACTTAACCACTACACCACCAGGCCAGCCCCTCACCACTCCTTTCAAAAACGAAAATGACCATCCCCTCTTCTCTTCTTCAATAGTGAAAATCTACCTAACTGTTCACTGTGAAAGGATCTTGGAGACTTTAAAGCGATGTATAGATGCAAAGCTCTTTTTGTACATCCTTCATATTTAAAGAAACATTTAGATGACAGTACTAAACAACTCCACTTAAAGAGCTTAATCTGCTCAGCTGCCTGGTTGGGAGTGAGAGTAAGTTTTGTAGCCAACATATTCTGGCAACTACCTCAAGACCTGGTGACACTCATCAGAGGCAGGCTGGGCCCAGGCCTCAAATGGAGAAGACTGCATTACCTCCAAAAGGGGTCCTATGCAGAGTCACAGAAATACAAGATGTTCTTCATCCAACTCTAAATAAACCAGAGTTTTTATAACTTAGTATTGACATTTTTCATTTTTAAAATTATGCTGGAACTTCAAAAACTGGAATCGACCCAGGACCTTTTACATCTTTAAGAAGCCCTGATGTCCCTCAAAATAGCACGTGTTTTGGAAGCCATGATAATCAGGCTATTTCAGAGAGGGAGGTGGCTGACTGCTGGTAACACTGTTTGCTCTTAAATTTCCAGGCTCCACTTCCAAATATACAGCCAGCTGGAACTCTGGAGTCCTTACCCAAGCACCTGAGCAAATCAAAAACTTTTCTACTGATTAAAAAAATACATACTTATTGTGGTTAGTTTAGAAAATGCAGAGAACAAGAAAGAAGAAATGTTTTAAATCATCCAATATCCTACTATCCAAATGTTACCCTGGCCCCTGGCCCCATAAGACATTAACCACAACCCTGCTCAGAACAAGCCTAACACATTCTCTTTAGGTTACAGGAAACCACAAAGAGAGGAATAAGGAGATGGCTGACACATTGTCAAAACCAGTTAAAACCACGTGAAGGCAACATGGCAGCCTGACTTGACCTGACATAGACCCCACAGCTCATTACATGCTCATTGTAATACATTACCGTACTACATAACACACCCCCCAGCGCCATGACAGTCCACAATTGCCATGGCAACCGCAGCATATGACTAAATAAGGAAAGAAAAGAGGTGGCACCCTTGTTCCCCCGAAAAGCCTGCCCTGTTCCCTGAATACGATGACTATTCCCCCCCTTCATTATCTCGACCCCTTATAACCGCTGCTGCTTACTCGCCCCAAGAGCTGAGAAGTTGAGTTGTGAACTTAGTTCCCACTTCTCTATTCTTTGGCCATCAAATAAAAGCTTGTGCCGTTGACTGTTCAGCTTTGGTTTTGTTTCAAATCTGCGACCCTGAACAGAAAAGAACCCTCCAAGGAGGGGACGGATTGTGGGTACGAGGCCCACACCTGTGGGTCCCTCCTCGGAGCTCCTCTGAAGTGGGTTGGAGTCCCACCAGAGTGAGGTCAATTTGGTAACACAAAGACAATCATTTTAATTTAAAAGGCTTTGGAAAGTATATTCAGTCACTACAGCATAATCTATATTAACAAAACATTTTAAGGACCTGAGCGATAATGCTGTATTTATAATCAAAAAGAAGAGAACATGCTTTATTCATAACTGCAAAAAAATGGAAGCAATCAATATGTCCATCACAAGGTGAATGGATAAACTGTGGTATAACTATGCAATGGAATATTATTCAGCAATAAAAAAAGAAATGAGCTATCAAGTCACAAACCCTAATTTTGCTTACTGAAAGGAGCCAGTCTGGAAAGGCGAGATATTGTATGATTCCAACTATATGACATTCCCGAAAAGGCAAAACTATAGAGATAGTATAAAGATGAGTGGTTGCCAGGGGTTGGGAGGGGGTACAAACAGGTGGAGAACAGGGGATTTTCAGGACAGTATAACTGAATGACACTGTAATTGTAGACACATGACCTCATGCATTCGTCAAAACCCACAGAACTGTACAACACAAAGAATGAACCCTAATGTAAACTATGGATTTTAGTTAATAATAATGTATAAATATTGGTTTATCAATTGTAACAAATGTACCACACTAATGCAAAATGTTAATAATAGGGGAAACTGTGAGGGATATATGGGGACTTTCTGTCCTATCTGTTCAGCATTCTGTAAACTTAGAACTGCTCTAAAAAATAAAGTCTACTAACTAATTAAAAAAAAAAAACAACGACATAAACTACCTACACAAGGTGACCTCAACTCTTCAAAAAGGCCGCAGAGAACAGCAAAAGGATAGAGCAGGAAGCTCCCCTACCCCAACCCTAGCCCCCCATAATAAAACATCGCAAAACAAGCAGAAACTGACAGAACAAACTTTGTCAGGACTCTGGAAAACACCGAATCAAAAAAGAGCAACCTGGCAGTAGGAAAGCTTTGTGGTGTTTTTACCTGCCCCCGCCCCACTCCCTCCCTGGCTAAGTAACAGTCTTGAAGATTCCCAGCATGGGACCCTGGTCCTGGTTGCAGAAGGAGCAGAGCCCCACATTCACAAATTGTTGTGTATGTCTGTTCTAACCTGGCTGGGGCTGCCTGAAGGAATGACACAGGGTGCTCAACTTTTTCTACCTAACTCGGAGCTCGGGCCAGAAAGGTGGTGGGCATTGCTCGGAACGCTGCAACTGAATTAAACTTGCCCATGTCTAGAGCTAAAGATTATGGTGGAAATGTACGATAGAGCACCTAGGTCCCAGGAGCAAAAGCTGGGGAAAATTGAAACCCTCCTACTTTGTTGATGGGAATGTAAAATGGTGTAGCTGCTGTGGAATACAGTTTGGCTGTTCCTCAATAAGTTAAATAGAGAATTACCTTAGGACCCAGCAATTCCACTCTCAGGTATTGACAAAATAATTGAAAATAGGGACTCAGATACTTGTAACCAATGTTCACTGCAACATTACTCACAATAACCAAAAGGTGGAAACAATTAAAATATCCACCAAGGTATGAATTTAAAAAAAAAGTGGTATATACATACAAGGGAATATTATTCAGCCACAAAAAGGAATGAAGTTCGGATACATGCTACAACACAAATGAACCTTGTAAACATCATGGCAAGTGAAAGAAGCCAGACCCAAAGGGATAAATATTGCATGATTCCACTTGTATGAAATATCTAGGCAAATTCATCGAGAGAGAAACTCAATTAGAGGTTACCAGGGGCTGGAGGGAGGAGGAATGAGAAGTTATTGCTTAATGGGTACAGAGTTTCTGTTTGTAGTGATGAAAAAGTTTTGGAAATAGATAGTGGTGATGGGTGCACAACACTGTGACTACAACTAACGCTACTGAATTGCACACTTAAAAATAGAATAGCAAATTTCACCACAATAAAAAAATTTTCATAGAGACAGACTTCGTAAAGACTGGAAAGAAGTGGAAATACGCCAAGGTGTACAGCGGCTAGGTTGACAGGATTTTAGGAGATTTGGATTTTTGTTTTCTGCTGCTTCATACTTTTCTGAACTTTCCAAAGAGCGCGTTCTACTTTTAGACGGGAAAAAGTAACGTAAGAGTAGGAAAGGAAAGGGAAGGGAGGAAGAGCTATGGGGGAACGGGGTGCAGGCGGCGCGGGCAGCTTGGAGGAGAGAGGGCAGCTGCGGGTCCCGCCTCCCTACCGGCAGCGGCGCGGCGGGGCGCGGGGGCCCCGGCGCCAGGCCGGGGGCCGGGGCGGGAGCCGGGCCGGGGGCCGGGCCGGGGCCGGCCTCCAGCTCGCGCGCGGCCTGGCTGTACTTGTCGGCCAGGTCCTGCAGCAGCGTGTTCTTCCGCAGCTGCAGCTGCTGCGCGCCGCCCTCGCGGCAGGTGGGGCAGGACCAGCGGCGCCCCGCGGCCCCTGCGCCCCACAGGTCCTTCAGGCAGCTGCGGCAGAAGGTGTGGCCGCAGGGCAGCGTGACGGGCCAAGCGAGCAGCCCATGACAGATGATGCAGCCCAGGTCGTCCTCGGCTAGCCACACGGGGATGGCCCGGCCGGTGTCCAGGCCCGCCATGGTGATCAGTCCGCCGCCGGGGCGCGGAAGTCGGGGCCACGCCAGGCACCGCTCGTCCGCCCGCCCGCTGCTACGTCTCCTCTGGCTCCTCCCTCGCTCTTCCTCTCCCCCCGCTCCTTCGCTGTCTCCTCCCCTCTTCACTTCGGTCCGCCGTTGTTCCGTTTCTGCAGTCTTGCTGAAAGCTGACTTAGCGCCTCCACCGCCCAGCCCGCGGCGCCCTGGGGGCAGAGCTGGCTCCTAGTCACAGCCTCCTCTGCTGGGAAATCAGCTCGCCCCAAGCGCTAGGAACCTGATGATGTCCCAAAGATCCCTTGGTTTAACGCCCCCCCCCCCCATTAAAATACAACCCCGACAACTCTTGGGAGAAGAAAAAAGAGGATTCAAGAACTCTTTTATGAGAATGCGTCCACTAGGTGTCATCCAGCCCCTCCAACTAGCAAGGGATTAAAGAATTTCGAGGGCCGGCCCCGGCCCCGGCCCCGTGGCTTAGCGGTTAAGCGCGCGTGCTCCGCTACTGGCGCCCCGTTTCGCACCCGGGCGCCCACCGACGCACCGCTTCTCTGGCCATGCTGAGGCCGCGTCCCACATACAGCAACTAGAAGGATGTGCAACTATGATATGCAACTATCTGCTGGGGCTTTGGGGGAAAAAAGGAGGAGGATTGGCAATAGATGTTAGCTCAGAGCCGGTCTTCCTCAGCAAAAAAAAAAAAAAGAGAGAGAGGAGGATTAGCATGG